GAAACAATTTCTATTGCTGGAAAGTCTGAATTGGATGTTTATTTGGATGAGCCAAAACTTGATTATGAAGTGTTTGAAGACTTGGTTGTACTTAATTATTAGAAGGATAATGCTAAGCGTTTTCCTGATCTTTCTGTTATGGCACGAGATGTATTGAGCATTTAATTACTACGATAGCATCAAAGTCTGCTTTTAGTATCAGTGGTCATGTTCTCACCAAGTTTAGAAGTTCCCTCCGCCATGAAAATATTTAAATGCTTGTCTGCAAGAAAAATTAATTGCATGACTTTTCTTTAGCTGTTGATGGTATTGTTTATTTTATATATTTCAATGTCTTTAATCTTTACTTGTTAAATTAATAATTTTAGTTAAAATTCAAACTCACTATATCTTTTTCTTTTATGGCAATGAATATTAGATGATAATGATGAGGAGTTGGGGACATCATTGTTGTCAAAAGAAGACTCAAATGTTCTGATTGAGGATGAAGATTGAGAAGAACATAAATTTGTCTTGAAGTTTATAAATATTTGATTATGTATTTATGTAGTTATGTTGATAGGATTGTAGTTTGTGTAATTGTGTTAAAGTTTAAAATTTTATTTATGTTTGGTGTAATGTATTTGCTTATTTATATATGGTGTAATTTATTTGTTTGTAACATGTTTTTATTATTTAATTTATGGACTAAACCATGGCATAGTTTTATTGATAGAGAGTAAAAATAATTTTTTTTTGAAAAAAATGGGCTAACCCAACTCAACCCATGGGTTAACAAGGGGTGGGCTAGGTTAAGGATTTAATAGCCCATATAAAAAATGAGCTGGCTCAGCCCAATCCATTTTTTTTTTAGGCCACAAGGGCTGGGATTGGGCTAGGTTTGGTCAGCCCATATTGACAGGTCTAATGACTGTATGACTTAAAATAAGATAAAATATATAATAAAAACTACTAAAAAGAAATTATATTTAAGTGATAAAAGTTAAAATAAAAAAAAAACATGTTTCAACTGCAGCAAGTAAGAGGTCATTTTCAACTATAAACATCATAAAAAACAAGCTTGGAATAAGATGAAAAACAATTTTGTTCTTGACTGCATGGTTACCTATATTGAAAAAAAGATTGTTGAAAAGTTCGACACAGACTCAATTATTGATGAATTTTATGACATAAAAGAATGTCGTTTTTAACTTTGATAAATTACAAAAAATATGTTACATATATATTTTTTAACCTAAACTTTTTATATACATGAACATGTTAGGTTTTTCTAATTTTTACCTCCCAATAGCTTAATTCTAGATCCGTCCCTATATATACTATCTAAAGTTTTCCAGTTTTCTTTTATTTTCTTTAATTGTCAGCTTTTAGTCTCAAATGAACGTGAAATAAATGTAACAAAAGAGAAGCATAAAGGCTAGAGAGGAGGGAAACAAATATTCTTGGTCATCATGGCTAGTGTGTATGGATTTATAGTGACAAAGAATACAGGTCCTTTCAAAAGAAAAGCAAAAACAAAAAATTAAGTTGATAAAATATCTTAATCAAGTGACTTTGATTTTGCTATACTATTAAGAAATTAGAAAACAAGTTCTCCTAGAAACTCTAGGAAATTTCTTGAGACACTACAGATTTTCTCCCCTTGACTCTTGGTCTTATATAGGAACAAACACAAAGTGACATGCTTAAATAGTCTTCTCTTTGTAACCTTCACCTTTAGTTGATTTTATATAAGAGCAAATCTTGAATAAAAATCTCTTCATTTGCAGATGAAAGATAATGTCAAACGTAAGCAGATTAAGATTACAGAAGACCGTAAAGTAACTAGTTATTTTGAAAGACTCAAATTGAAGGAATAAGGTTAAAAGAGTACATTATTGAGTAATTGACCACTCATTTCAAGTATGAACCTTGTAAGGATGCTTGGAGACAAGTTTGTGAAATAGCATGTCATATCCCATTTCCTAGAAAGATCGTGACTAGTGCATGGACCCAAAAAGATATGCCCTGTTATGCCCAAACAAACCTCTTAACCTTAATTAATCATCAATCACATATAAGTATAGATAAATGTAAACATAAGCATCTATGCATAGGTGAAAGTACACGATTATGGACTTCTCAATATAAAAGATGTACACATTTCTCATTCATAAAATAAGTACCTAATACAATTAACATGAAATCTGTAAAGGCACCCAAGGTGCTTGTATGGGCTCACAAGCCATCATTCACAATGTTCACATAATCTCATGAAAATAATTGGCCATTTCCAAGGCTCAACATTTGAGAATCAACTGGTATATAAAAAAACTGAAATATAAAGATTGACTCATCAGTGAATTATAACCCAACTCACTAAGCATAAAGTGACTGTTAAACACTTACCAATGACGAATAAATAGATCACAACTCCATGACATTGGTTGCTAGTAAAAGGGTATTATCACTGATCTGTAATAAAAATAAATAAGAAAAATAACGTGTGAGTCACAAAGACTCCGTGAGTGGATATGGGATGGAAACAAGTTAGGGGATAAGAGTATTTTATAAACATGCACTTGTAACTTCATGCCATTCATAAACCATTTAATCATAAAGTTCATGAAACATGGTATTTCAAACACATTTTCAACAGCATTTGCCTAGAAACAGGTTTACAGAACCTTTAGAAACCTTTTCACCTTTTAAAAACCTTCAAACAATTAACTATGTATCTCATCTATCAATAAATAAAGGGTATCTATCGGTAAAATGAACATAAAAGGCTTATTGTAGCATTTTGCCTGTTATTGGTTGATAGATATTCTTCAAGTATTAATAAATAGCTTCTATAATTCTGTTTTTTGGGCAAAATTTTGTAATTTTGC